CCCCGAACCTGAGACCCTAAACCCTAAAACCCTAAAACCTAAACCCTAAACCCTAAACCCTAAACTCTAAAACCCTAAACCCTAAACCTTAAACCCTAAACCCTAAACCCTAAACCCTAGACTGATCTACAGCCTGAACCTCGAAACCCGTAGCTCCACGAGGCGTGACGCTGGCGGCTGCCATTGCTTTGTGCTACCTTGGCCCAGCCGAGGTCCGGCTTGGCCCAAAGTCCTGGGTTTAGGGTTTAGGGTTTAGGGTTTAGGGTTTAGGTCCTATTCGCCGTTCAGGGTTGAGGAGTCTCTGTTTTTGCGGGTTGGGGGGTGGAGGGGGAGGGGGTGTTTTCGTATAGTATAGAAGCCTCAATAATTACCAATACTACTGTTAGGGTTCCTTATTATTTTAATATTATAAAGGAGCCCAAAACCCTATTCTAATTATTAAGGCCCCTACATTACCCAGAGGCTCCATCTATGCTACCATTATGGATTTCGATCCCGAAAACCATAAGAATAATAAGGATGGTCTTTCGGGGCCTATTCCATACTGGTAGAATACATGGAGCCTCTGGGTTACAGAGTTTTGTTCGTGTAAGCTTTGAGGGCTCCCGAAGCCCAACTATCTGACGAACCCTGGTTTCTCCAGAGGGCTAAGGGTCTGCGCTTTATTCCAGGGTTTAGGGTTCAGGGCTTATTGGTTTAGGGGTTTAGGGTTTAGGGCTTGGGGGTTTAGGGTTTAGGGTTTTAGGCCTTAGGGCTTAGGGGTTTAAGGTTTTCAGAAGTAACCAGAAGGATAGCCAGTACTGCGGGGATTGTGTTTGGGTGCTGGTCTCATGGAGCCGTCCATCGTCAACCATGAATCTTGCAACTTCGACTTAGAAGGATGTCTTGGGGTTCACATCGCTGATCCGACTTCTGGCGTTTACGATATGGTGGCTGGGAGTTGGGGGGGATAAACGGAGTGGTGGCTTAGGTGTTCTGCTCGCAGTCGTTTTTTCATGTCTTTTCGTCTGCCTCTTGTCTGGTGGAGGCAGTGCTGGTATTCTTGCTTTCAGGGTGGCCGAAACACCGAACCCCAACCCTGAGGCCCGCAATGCCTGATTGGGTTTTAGGGTTTAGGGTTTAGGGTTTAGGGTTTAGGGTTTAGGGTTACACGCAAAGCCCGTAATCCCTTGAACCCTGCAGTCCAACAGTTCTTCCGAGGGTGTGGTCTTTGCAGGAGCGGCATGTGTGCACAAGCCCTGAACCGACCCCCCAACCCGAAACCCCTACAAAGGGGTTTAAACCCTCAAGTCCCAGTTAAACCCTAAACTTAGGCCCTAAGCCCCGTTCCTGCCCGTCCTACCCCGAATCACCCTAAAACCCTGAACCCTAAACCCCCGAACCCTAAACAACCCCTCAAAACAATAAATCCGAGCCCACCGAAGACCGGGAAAGCGAAAACCCTAAACCCTAAACCCTAAACCGATGGTGCCAGGAGCTCAGCAGTGTCACGATGCCGCTCATGCGCTGCCTGCGGCAGGCGGTTCTTTGGGGTTAGGGTTTAGGGTTCACCCTAAAGCGTAGGGGCCTTAACAATTAGAATAAGGTTGTGGGGTATTATATTTTTTAAATTCTAACAAGGAAATTCAACAATAGTATAAGCAATGATTCAGGCCCCTGTACTAGGCCTCATTAAGGCCCCTGTACTAGGCCTCAGTATAGTGCCCTGTCTGCTCTTCTATATTGGAGATGTCCTTGCTATTAAGAGTTGACTAGTCGGAATAGGAATAAGGGTACCCTTTGTGTTCCTTATTTATTGGGGGTTGCATTTCTGTATAGACTAACCGTAAGAATTGGTTTTGGCAATTATACCAATAAGAAGAATGATTGTATAATGACAGTAAAAATGAGAATAGCACCAGTAGTAACAGAAATGTGAAATAAATGAAGGCGGACTCTACTGCTCGAGAATGTTCACGCTCCACATGCGGTTTACGATGTGGGTTCCCAAAGACTCTTAGGTACCTACATAGTGGTAAGTAGAGTTTCGATAGTCCTACCTACGTAGTACGAGTGGGAATCACACGTAGCTACTATTCCGGCGTCCATCACCAATCATTGGTACTTAGGACCGTCCCCTGGGGGATTATGGGTCTTGAGAAGCGAAATTCAGAGTTTTGGGTGGAGGGGGTTAGGATCGTGGTCTACCTAGGAGTTGTAGAATTTTTGGTGTAAGGATCGATGCTTCAATGTGGTGTGTCGCTGCTGCTTTGTGACGGTTCAGGATAAGCAAACCCTCAGCAAGCAAATTTTCAGGATGCTTTGGCGGTAGACGGCTTGCAATTTGTTCATGTTCTTTGCCCATGTCCTCCTGAGTCACATTGAACTGACTGAGTCGAAACCCTAAGCCGGCACAGGATTACCGAATGCAGGTCTTTCAAACCCCTAAACCCTAAACCCTAAACCCTCAACCCTAAACCCTAAACCCTCAACCTTAAACCCTAAACCCTAAACCCTTTAGGGCACACAAGGGTTGACAGAGCTGGGGGACCGTGGTTTCGGCAAGGCTTCCTCCTTGCCTCTGTAAAGTTTTGGGCTGCCTTTCTCCTGTAGTGAACCAGTCTCAAAACACCATAAATACAGGGTTTAGGGTTTAGGATTTAGGGTTTAGGGTTTCGGGTTTAGGGTTTAGCAAGCAGCCCAAATCTTGCCAGGCTCCATTTCAGCAACTTTGCCTAAAACCCTGCAACCCTTAACTCTAAGCCCTAAACCAACAACAAACCATCTCGTAATTGATGCGATGCTACCTTGCTGGGGACAGATCCAAGCCAACTGCTGGGCACTGCTCATGAAGCTGTATAGGAGGCTTGGGAAGCTACATGGTGCCCTCCAAATCCTGTACATCATATTCACATGAAAATTAGTCAGCTCCGATGCTGCCTTAGGAGCAACCAAGACGGGGCACTGCGGCCAGTTTTGGTCAACTTGAGATCGTGTGTATCGCTAGGCTGGAAGGACAGCTCACAGCTCTCGCTGCAGCACCGGCTCGCCCATTGGACCAAAGACCGCCTAAACCCTACACCCTATCTATAGTTTCCATTGTTGTTGTTTTTCGTTTAACTACTCTATACTAAAGAATTTATAAGGTATCCCCAAAAAGGAACTGCAATGGAGACTGTAGGTACACTCTAAACCCTAAACCCTAAATCGTTGCACCAAAGACGGCGACAGGCTTGGCCTGCTATGCTCCTGCAGGAAGTATCACCAGACATCGGGCGCACCCGCACGAGAGTCTCAGGCACGAACAAGGAGGCCACCAGGGTGGCTTTATCGCAACAGGACGCTTCTTGTGCAATCACAAACAGCACGAAGCTGTGTACTTCCGATTCAAAGGGCACGGTTACAAAGACCACCAAGCGATGCGCTTGGTCCTTAAAGCTGTGTGCACGGAGGAGGCTTTCCAGACACAAACACAAAAGCTGCAAAAGTTGAAGCGCGTAAAAATGCGGTACCCGAACCTTAGCATTAGTACCCATACAGAACCCTTAGAGGACCCGCATCTCTTTGGAGGCCACGCCCGAAGCAACCAGCACCCTGCTAGTGGCTCTGGCGCCGCTCATCGAGGCCCGGAATCGTTCCGGTTTAAGTGTCTTAACATGTCCTAACCCTACACCGTAAGCGCTGAGGGTTTAGGACTTAGTATAGGGGCTGCTTCTGGATCTGAAAACCTACCGTTTTAAGGAATTGACCCTTTCGAACTAAAGGGTCATAACTTAAAATGTTGCAGGGTGTTTAGGGCAGTCTTTAGTTTGAGTTAGGGCTTGGGATCTCGGTCTTCTGGGGTTTAGGGCTTGAGGGTTCAGGGTCCTAAGGGAAGACATCAGGGTTTCGGGTCGAAACCCAGGAAATGCAAGGGCCTTAATGGTAAGAATAGGGTTTTAGGGTTATTCTACTATACTTGTAATAAGGAACCCACCAAAAGAATATAGGTCATTATTTAGGCCCCTATTTGACCTATCTTTATCTAGTGGGTTGCTGTCCTTGTTTTTGCGCGTGAGATTTGTGGGAATTGCAAGGCTCTCTAACAAATCCTTCACCCCCTTCAGAAGCCTGTTAAAGATCTCATGAAGCCTTATGACAGCCATGTAACTTTGGAGTAGCTTTGCCAAAGCCTTTTCAAGCGATGAACATACTTGTAAACCTTGTCTCGGACCCTTAACCCTAAACCCTAAACCCTAAACCCTAAACCCTAAACCCCTTAACCTCTATTCTCTAAACTCTACCCGGGCCCCCAGCTCCCCTGTACTATACTGTACCCTTAGAGGGCTATGTCTATGTGATCCCTTTCAAGAGTACCGGGCAGCCCTAAACCCTAAACCCCTAAACCCCTCAACCCTAAACCCTAAACCCACAACCCTCAACCCCTCAACCCTCAACCCTAAACCCTAAACCCACAACCCTCAACCAACAACCCCTCAACCCTCAACCCTAAACCCTAAACCCTAAACTAGACTCGTTGCCAAACAGGCTCAGCGAGGAGTCTTCCGACCCCTGCTCCGGGAATTCTTTGTGCAGGCTGCCCCGCAGCCAAGGGCTCCGCCGGGTTGCTTTAGGCTTCAGGGGCTTTAGGGTTTAAGGCTAAGGGTTTAGGGTTGAGGGTTTAGAGTTTGGGGTTTAAGATCGGTTGAGGTGGTAGGGTTAGGGTTTAGGGTTTAGGGTTGAGGGTTTAGGGTTTGGGGTTTAAGATCGGTTGAGGTGGTAGGGTTTAGCAATTACTAGGGCAATTGCGAGTCTTTGCAAATACAAGGGAGCCTTCATCCTCCTGGTCGCCCCTGACGACACCGACTGACTCCGACTGACTGCTGCGCCGCAGAGCCCAGTGCCACTAAGACGAGAAAGATCGTTAACATCATGCAGGTGTGCTCAACCCTAAACCCCCAACCCTGAGCCCTGGACCCTAAACTCTAAACCCTAAACCCACTTTAGGTATATTGCGCGATTGAGGGCTATCGGGCTCTCTTGAAACTCCGAGGATCCCAGATATGTGCTTCGCATAGAGTTCCTGGATTCTAAAAGCCGCCAAATCCCTAACCCTATTGCAGGGCCTTGCTAATTAGAATAGGGTTTTGGGATCTTGTATAGTATAGATGAAATTAAGGAAACCCTAAAACAGTATAGATAATTATTATTTAGGCCCCTACATTAAGTCCGGGTGCTTCTAAACCCTATTCCCAAACTCTGAACTCTAACGCCTGAACCCTAAACCCTGAACCCACACTTCTAAACACTAAGCCTAATGCCCCAAGCCCTAAACCCTAAACCCTAAACAAAAAAAACAGACCCAAACCCCAAAACGCCTAAGCGGCCCTGCTGACTTTCGCTGAGCATTCGAGGTTTCGGTCGAGGTCTCCGGTGGTGGAAGATGGTGGTGTGTGTCTGTTATTAAAAATGAGGGATCCCTTTTTGGGTTTCGGGTTTAAGGTTTAGGAGTTCTTACGGTCCCTTTTTGGGTTTAGTTGTTAAGGTTTAGGGGCTCTTATGGTCTTAGAGTTGAGGGTTTTAGGAATGTAGGGTTTGGGGTCAGGATTCCTGGTGCTACGATTGCAGGGATGTGTGCTTGGGTAGCCCTAATCCCTGAAATCCCGTTTCTGCTGAAACTCGCACTTGTCCTGGGCAGAGGTTTGGGGTTTAGGGTTTAGGGATGAAAGAATAGTGGTATCTTATTGCCCTCAAAACTGACATGGCTACAAAATACTACACTCCAAAACCCTATTCTTACCGTTACATAAGGATCCGTAACTCTAAAACCCTAAACCTCGAAACCGGAAGCCTGGTAGCAACCCGCCTAAACCCCAAACCCTACACTGCTCGCGGAAGACGCCCGCGGGGGACATCTTGCAGCCACCGTCGGCTATCAAGTCAAACATCATATAGGGAGGGTATAAGAGAACACGTCCGAAAAAATGCTATTGCTTGGGGCTCTTTGTCATAGTTAGAGTATAATTAGTATACCACAAGGCCCCACCCTAATCTGTAAATCACGCCCCTTGTATGAAGCTCCCCGGTTAAACCCAAACCCTAAACCCTACCCTTGTCATCAACATGGCCCAAAAGCCTTGCATAATAGGGTCGTTGGGCCCAAAAGCCTTAAAAGGTGTGTCCTTAAAGTGTAAATCTTAGAAATGCTGAAATCAGGTCCCGGCTCCAAAGGTCCTAAGAGGTCTCGACAAATTTCTTACAACGCGAGCTCCCGCGATTTCTACAAGGGTTCTACAAGGGCTGTCTAAGGGTTATAGTTTCAGGTCCCCATATACATGCCTTGAGCGCTTTCTGTTCTTGGCTGGCTTCCTTACTAGAACTGAACAGGGTTTAGGGTTTAGGGGTTTAGGGTTTGTAGGGCTTAATTGTAAAAGACCCTTATTCTTCAAAAGGGATGCTGCGGAACCTGGGCAGCCCAAAACCCAAGCCTGACGAAGTGACCCGAAGCTGCAGCAGGCAAAGTGGCACCCTCAGGGTTTAGGGGTTTAGGGT